GTTCGAAAGTTTATAAATGCCGTTACTCGACTTCTTTTTCAGCACTCCAAGTTTCGGACGAGGATTTAAGGATTCTCAAGTGCCTCTGTAGGGAATGAATTACGTTTCATTAGATAAAGTGTGATATGTTAGACCGATATGTTCACTGAATCTTTTTATCAGTTTTCTTAGGAATAATACGGTACTTCGTTAACATGAAAATCAGTTAGTTCATACGTATTGTGTATGTTGTTTTATGAGCTCCACTGGTACATTATTATGAATAATTTCAACAAATTCTTGTGGAATGACGATGCAAAATATAGAGAAAAAATTTAACAAAATTGCAGCTGATAATAAATATTTATTATGCTTTAGAGTATTTTTAAATATTTATTGGAGATGTTGTATATTGTCAATGTATCGGCAGGATTGATTAGAAAAATTAAACTTTTCCACTTAGGAAACTAATATGATTCAAGCTGTTTTTTTTTTTTTTTTTTTTTTTGGCAATCACAAAAACTACTTTAAAATCAATTAAATTAAATTGATATATTATTATCATTGCATCACAAAAAAATAAATAGAATTTTCTTATATTGAATGCATACGTATGTCATATGTACTCGCGTGCCTGTGTGTAATATAATATAATTTAATACATTTTTTTTTATTTCTATTTTATACTACTTTGTTTTTTAATTCCGTATATCATTCTTCATAAACAATATTTACAAATATAAAAATCTATAATAATTTAAATATTTTTATTTAATGTTACTATTAATGAGCAACTCATAAATACGTATCTTATTTACAAATATAGAAATTTTTGATAAAGTAAACTCACTATAATACTACAACCGTTATATATAATTATAAGTAACATAAAATTATCTTGTATAATTATTTTTTAACAATTAAAGGTTTTTTTACGATTTACAAAAGCTTATATATATATATATATATATATATATATATATACAATGTATTAGTTTTTAGTCTTCCGAAGAAGTTATCATGATATGTTTCTTCTATGTTGCACTTTAATTTCTTATATTTACGACACTTCGTTGTGCTGTATTGGTGGCAAATCTCATTCTAGCTTTACCCGAAGTTTTTTATTACACGTAGATTTGCAGCTTCAAAACGTTTGCCACATATATGCTGTCAATAGTTAATTTAGTTGTACCACTTTCTCCAACGATTGTTTTTCTTATACTATCAATTTATCAGCCTCTAGAAATTCGCGCTTATTATACTTAAAAAGATTTTATTTTCGAAATTTACTATACGGTATTTTATATATATGAAAATAGTCAAATATTCAGTCATTCATAAAAAATCTATTCCAAACTCATTCTTTCATTTGGGTTTTATTCTCAAATGTATATTCCTAAGCAATTTTCATAAGCAATTCTGTACTTTCTATTATGAAAAATACCAATGCACACTTCATAGTAAAAGACACTATTTCTTAAAAATTTATTGACCCTATTGTTCATATTCGTACTTTATGCACTTAGTTAAAAGAATTAAATTTATCGTTTAATCCTGTCTTTCTCTTTTTGAAATTTAATATTGCAATAAATTATTAAACATTATTTTATATAATATCATGTATTATAATAATTAATTAATACTTTGTATGTTACGAATGAAAGTGGCAGATATTATTAATAATTTAATACAAAATTATCAGATATTAACACAATTGTCTTGAACAATTTATTAATATTTTATTTTTAAGGCTTCTTCATTTTTTTTTATTCTATATAAACCAGTTAATTGATATTATAAAATTAATATATTTGAATAAAAGTTTATTGTCGTATCGCTTAAGAAGAAAAATAATATTAAAAGTTTTATAAAAAAAATTATTAAAGCCTGAACATTGTATATATTGATAGAAAACTTATATCAAGTTTTAAATATTTTATTCTATTTTTGTTATTATCAACAGTTCTTTTGACATTTATGTCTGTTTAATGAACTATCTCATTAGATTTTTAAAATATACCTAGAAAATAACCGCAATTGCACTTTTTCATTAGCTATGATCATATATTTTTTAATTGCAATGCTTTAATTTATATTTGTAGAAATTAAATATAATTTTGTGAAAATAATGAATTTTGTTTATTAATATTAATGAAAGATAAATATTCAACTATATTTGCAGAGATAATCAATAAAAATCACCTGTTGCGATATGGAATAATATTTAAGAAGAGAAAGGCTTTTTTTTCAAATTTTTTGCGGACAATTTTCTAAATTACAACAATGAAAATTAAATTTTTCTTAATATTACTTTTATACTTATATTTCTTGTATGAATATTTTTTTTTTTTTTTTTTTTTTTTGTTAACTTTATCTTCAAATCTCTGTATGGCATAAAATTATAAGAAATCATAAATCTGAACATTAAACTATTATAGGTAGAAGATATCAGGCGTCACTCTGTAGTGGCAACTCGAAGGTAGTTTGCATTAAACAGAAGCCGGAGACTCTCGTAGATGAAAGGAACCGGAAATTTAGCAATGCTCTTGGAACTTTGGCGAAAAGAGCTTAATATAACCAAGTATGCCCGAAGGAAGGAAAATAAAGAAAACGGAGTTTGAGAGTTCCTATGGCATTGGAGAATCGTGGCCTATGGAAAGTTTACGAGGTCTTTGGTCTAGTTGAAGAAAACACCAAGGCGTGATATAACTTTAGGGTTCATTCGAGTTGTTTTGGACAGCGGTGAACTTAAAAAAAAAAAGAAGGAATCTTATCGAAAAAGCAAAGAAGTTTATGAAACGCTATTTTTTTCGGAAAGAGACACGTCAGCACTTTTGTAAAAACTTACCGTGAGAGGTCATCTCGTGCAATTTCTCCAAAGGACATCAAAGAGCTTTCCAGTGACTCCTCCTTGATGGATCAAACATTATAGAAAGAACAGAAAGCTAATAGCATAATGACCTGTAGCAGATTCTTGGACAAGAAAGTATTACAAATCCATACATCTCTTGTAATTGTGTATTAATTACCATGTATTTGTAGATTTATAGCGCATCCTGCTAAAGTGACAATTTTTTGGAAAATCATAATTCATTAAAAAATCAGCATATATGATATGCATTTGACATATAAATGCATTCGGGACAATTTTATTAAAAAAAAAAAAAAAAAAAAAAAAAAATTTATATATATATAATATATATATATATACATTTCAACCAGGAGATATAGTAACAATATAGAAATAGATGTTTTTCTAGGCAAATTAGTATTTAGTTAACGCTGAATAAAATAAAGTTTATTTAAACTAAAATTTAAAGTTTCATTTTTCATTTAAATTTATCTATCTATTTCTATAAGTATAATTTATCTAATCTCTATCCTTTTCTTTATCATTTTTCTGTGTTAGAACAAAAAAGTTTTTTCTGTCCGCAATATTTTTACACTTCATTTAAATTGAAAGAAACTTTTATAGAAAAGCGTATGGCTTTTTATTTGAAAATCAACTTTCAGAGAAAAGATTATTTGACGTAAAAATTAAATTAAAAATTTATATTACTATACAGGAGTTTATTCAAATAAGTTTTATAAATAAAAGCAAATATAGACAGTTTAAAATCTCATATAGTTAATAAAAATTAATAAAGCCCAATAAGTATTATTATTATAACATATTATGTTTGAAAAATTGAATTCTCTTGAAAGAAATATTAATATGAAAAGTAAATTATAAAATCGTATGATATGATAACATATGATAACATTTTTTTAAGCACAAGAGACATTTTAAGTACAAATTTATGCATAATGAAATTGGCTTTTTCAATCTAAATGATTATATGATAAATTTTTAAACGCATTCTTTTAGATTAAATATTATTTTGGGTATTATTATTATTTCATTCAAATATCAATTTGACTACTTTTATCTGTGGCTACATTAACCAAGTCCAAAAACATGAATGTTACTTTAATTCTTATTATTTATAAATTTATCCGTCAACTTTCGAAAAGATATTCGCTTATAAACAATATGTAACATATTATAAATTATTTTTATTTATTTTTGTCAGTTGTAATTTATTTCAAATCTTCGGTCTGATATTTCAACGTACCAAATGCAAAAATTAAGAGGGAATTATAACTGAATTTGATATTAAAGTTTTCATTCACAATTCAATGCATTTGTACATATATAAATATATTTGTAAATACGTAAATTTACATGTGTAGTAAGTGAAGAAGTTTCATATATTTTTCATATATTTTCATACATTTTTAGGATCATTGGCTGCAAGATTTTATCTATAGACAAGGTTGAATCTTATAAAATTCATAAATGTATATGTCAAGACACCATGCACTTAAATACTTTAACATTTAAACCTTTATTATAAATAACACAATTAGCTTTAATTATTTTAACTTAATAAATTTTAACATTTGTGACTATTTCAAAGTACTCAGTCTAGCGCCATCTACATTCTTTTATAGTCACAAAAGTTTAATCCCGTCTTTACCATATGGAGATATTTATCTAGAAATTAATTATTATATTAAATTCTAATGAAATTGATAGAGAATTTCACTACTATATACATTAAATATATATATATATATATATTATACTTTTAAACCTTAATTTTTATATTAGGCGAGAGATTGCCAGATGAAAGTACTTAGTGACTGTTTGATGCCTTAAATTTAAGATAGATTTTAATAGTTACTTGACGATTACAAATTAATATGTTTATAAAAAAATATGTATCAAGGGTCACAAACTCTTTTATTTCATACTAAATATTGTAAGAAATAGAATAAAAATACTTGTTCATAAAATGTGAAAAATTAATTAATTCACATTATTGAATGTGACAAATCTACAGTTGTCGATCAATTTAGAAAATTGTAAATATATATAGAATGAAAATAATATTTTCTGACGATATTCTCTTTAAACATAAGATGTTGTTATTTTTAGTGAATATTTCAGTCTTCGATATCTTAAAATACGTTTCATATTTATGGTTTAAAATATTAATTTTTCAAGTATTTTGATTTTTTTTTTTTATAATTGATTCAGTCGTATATAACACAATAAATTATCTGCATCAATCTCACGGTCATTCTATAATAATTATAATCAATCATAAATTATTATTAGGATCATATGTAAATTAATTTTACACGTAGTTTTCATTATTAAAATTATTTCAGAATAAATTAAATACAACTTTTAGAATGACGAATGCATGGTTATGTAATATAGTATTGGAATGATTTGAAAGTATCGTATATATAAAATAATATTCTGTATAGAAATTAGTTTTTACTAAATGTTTGATAAAAATGTGAAACGGCTGTTGTAGTTTTATGAGAACCAGAAAATATCAATTTATCTTCTCGATAAGAAACGCATTACATAATTTCATCAATTTAATGGAATTTTTAAATATTCTTTTTTTTTCATTCGTTTAATATCAGATAAGTATATGTGCAGCTTACTATGATGAAATATTTTAAAAAATTTAGGATGTATTTTGGATACAAATTTATTTATAGCAATTTATGATTACTATTACTATTAAGATTGATTTTTTTTTTTCATGTTTTTTCATATATTAAGTAGAACTTGTAGTATTACTAAATACTAATTCATACATATTCTTATACGACATATGTTTTCTTTTGAATCTATTAAAAATGTTAATACACTTATATAATTTTAATACGAAATTCTTAATGATTTTATATCTCTCACTTCGTTTACAATTATACTTTAAAATTTCTGTTATGTCTGTATATCTCACTTCCGCTTCTGATTATAATATTAAAATCTTATGAGAATCCACTCAAAATTTCTTTATATCTAACGTAATCGAAATTGTAACATGAACCATTTTGATTATTTCTAGTATTAAAACTATAGGAATAATTATTTTTATAAATTTATTCATTGGTTTTTTTTATTTTTTATTTTTTTCGGCGTTTTTTCATTCTCTTACTTTCAAAGGCTGTTTTTAAACTAGTCGAAGTATTTTACGAGAAGTTCTCCTACAATTTCTCTTGTTGTTATATAATTTTTTAACTCATTACAATTAACTGACTTGAAATAACATTGAATATATATATATATATATATATATATATATATATATATATATATGATCGTTGTAAAATATTCATATTAAAATAATTGTAAATAAAGCGTAATTTAATTATTTGATTTTTTTTTTAATATTGAGAATATATATATAAGAATAAAAATTAAGTAATACAATTTCTATGAAACTGAACTTACAATACAAAGAAATTTCAATAAAATTATTAAATATTAGATATCACGTGTATATTTTTTTCTCTTAAATTATAATACTCAACATATAGTATGAACAAACCAGTCAAAACGACTAAATTTATACAATGCAATAAAAATAAAATTTTAAAATGTATCATCAACTAAGATATTTATATTTTATTATATAACTAAAGTAAAAAAATTTAGTATAATAAAATATTTTATATTAGCAAAGAATGTTATTAAAATGTTTTTCATTATTTTTTATTTATATTTTAAACAAATGAATCTGTTAAATTTACGTATTTTATTATACACGGATTTACATAATAAAGGAAATCATCCTTAGAAGTTCCGCCTCTTCATAAATACATTAATGCTACGCATTGAAATTGGATTAATGATTAAGCAACTAATGAATAAACAAATTATTCGCTGCCCGATTGTTGATCAAGTCGAACCCTAGCATTTCATGTTCATAAACTGATCAGATATCGTTAAATTTACCATAATTTATTTTCCAGAAACAGTGTTAATTTATTGGTCAGAAACCAACTGTAGTTCAATTGATATTGAAAAACAATGTTGCTGAAATTCATATAAATAATTGAAAGTTCATCGTATAATTTGTTTAAACTTCATCGAATTTTTTTAGTTATAATATTCTTTAAAATATAATTGCAATACAAATATTTATTTGAAAGCGAAAACGATTAGAAATACAATATTTATTTGTTCCTAAAGATATTTCTTTACACGATTGAGCATTTGTATTTTCATTATTAAAGAATAAAATAAGATTTATCCATTTATACGAATAACACTGTATCCATTTTTAGATAAAAAGTCGAATAAATCATTAATATAACTACAAAGTATTATTAAATTATTAAATGATAATAACTACTATTAAGATTATTTTTTTAAAGTTTTAATCGAAAAAATGATGAATTCAACAAAATGAAATTGATATTTGAAATAGTGTGTATGAAAAAACAATTTTAAAATTGCTTATTAAGTGCATTATCATAATCAACGGATAGTTGAAAACTTTCTGAAGTAGTTTGAAAACATGTTGTTTTCTTGAAAAACTTACAATTTAAAATTATTATTGACAATAAACATAAATTAAATATTGAATTTTCTTTGAAGAAATGAAATAAGAATTTTAATACACAACTTTTTGAATTGTGAAAATAACATCTACGGCATTATTCATTTAACAATTTAATAAAAATTTAATATTATTAAATAGTATTTAGGTCTCATGGGCTTACGAGTATAAAGTAATATTTGATAATTGTCTTTGTAATTATTTTAATATACGTTAGGATTGATAAAATTTATACATTGACCCATTGAAAAGGAATAAGGACAGAGGATAACTTGAAGACAGATGAGATAAAGAAGAGCGACCTGGGTGCACTCTAACTTTATTCGAAAGGATAAATTAGGGTGCATTTGACGCTCTCAGACAGAGTAAGAAGAAGTGGCGAACTCTATTGCCTATCCAGAACAAATTATTCCGTCCTTTTCCGGGTGACTAACCGTATTTATTTACGGACAAACTCACTTCTGCATTCAAACACCCTTTGTAGATTATTGCCGATTCTAATTAGCAATAATAATTAGTATAAAAGTATTTTTCGGCATCATATCTATCTTAACCTGACTGTTCACTAAAAATTTTTTTTTTTTTTTTTTTTTTTTTTTTAAATATTTTCTCGTTTACCTTTATAGCAATAATTTATTATCTAAAATTTAAAATACAAATTTAAGGTTCGTAAATTATGTATGTATTTATATGCTGATACATTCTACTTATTAATATTTATGATTATAGGCTTGCGAAATATCATTGAAACATGTATTCGAAATATTTATTCTATTAACGACTAGCTCAAATATAATTTTATTTATTTATTGATTTTGAGGACGCTGGAGGTGCTACAAGACGTAAGAATGTTCTGTTAAATTTTTAAACATAAAATAATAATCAAATTTAATATGTAGTCATAAGTATAAATGACATAAAATTAAAAGTTATCATATTATATAAAGATTTATGAACAAAACATTAATGAATTTTCAATTGTTATAAAAAGAAAAAAAAAAAAAAGAAGAAAAGATCAAGAAAAATGAGCAAAAACGAAGCAATAAAATAAAAATCAAACAATTAATTATAATTAATATTTAAAACATGTTTATTGTTTGACTTAGTTATATATGTTTATAGTTATTTATTTATATACGTCACATTATTCTTATAATTATTTTTAATGTTTATAATTATTGTCAGTATATCGTTGCTAAGCTTTAAAAATATTATAATATTTTATAATATTGATCAGAAAAAACGTGTTTTCTTAATACTTGTATTATTGTAAGTTATAATTTTATAATCTATGAGATATAATTAATTAAAAAATTATTCAAGTTTAAAATTGACAGGTATTCATAATAAAAATAAAGAATTGAATTTTTGTACCTCTTAACACAATAATCTACGATTCAATCTTTAAAAAAATTTTTTTATGTGTTTGTCTGGTAGGTGAATGAAATAAAAAGCTAAAAGAAATTATCAATGCCTTTAAACATTCCAAGTTTGCACATATTTTTGCTGGTGATAGGCTGCCCGTTACATTCATTCTTTCCTCAGATACCGTAAAGGAGTGGATATCGCGACTGGTCCTGTTGCACCAAGACTTGAAGCTTAATCAGTACGTTACAGGCATTGAAGAGCCAACATCTGGAATTAGTGAGAATTTTTATACAGAATTAGAGGAAAATGATGAATCAAATTCAGAAGATTGAAATTATTGACGGCTCACCGACTGATAAGGTACATAACTTTGTTTATTTATTGTATTTTAATAATTGAACTTTCAACATAATGTATTATATATTAAAATTTTAGATTGTTATATTAGATTAAATTCCAGTTTGTATTCACAAATTATTATTATTATGAATACGTTATGTGGTAAATGGGATTTATTTTTTCAATATATAAGTAGTACATAGGATATTGAAATTTTATACAAATATCTTTCAAAATTATATTTTCTCAACCTTAAATATCTAATGAAACTTATGCTTGAATTTTTATACGCAATGTATTTGTTTTTGTTTTTATTGCATAACTAATAATTATGTTTTGCGAGCATTTAAAACTTAAACGATATATTTTAGATACGAGAAATTAGTTTTAACATCAAATATTAGTTCATATAAATACTTTACATATAAATAAAGATTCACTTCAATTATACAATAAATTTTAATGAAATTTTTTCTTAGTTGTCAGTTATTTAAGAATCGAGTTGCAATTATGTTAAAAGATTGATAAGAATTAATTTATGTTCAGTAATGGAAAATTTTGTTCATATAATCGGACCTTCATCTCTTTTCATCATTTTTAATGGAATAAGCATATTTATTTTAAATTTCAGTAATATAAAAAATAAGTTTGAATAATTTATCTTCGTAAAAATATGAGTAATCGTTAACATTCAGCTAACAAGTACGTATAAACAACAAATTTTTCTGGCAAAAATTTAAATTTTTCATCAGTGCTACTTTTACAGAAAAATGTAATATAATTTTATAAATATTATGGGAAAAGCTTTGAAAAATATCTCATAATGCACTATAGTTTAACACTACTGAATTATGCCTAATTTCTTATAAAAAAATTGAAATATCATAATGTTAAAATCTGATAATGATTAAATTTTTTCACAACTTAATTTAAACATAATTATTCATATAATATTAGATAATCCAATTCGATAGATAAATTTGATTATTTATTAATTAATTACTTTATCTCTGCTTTAAAATAATAAGAAATAAATGTAAAGATGTAAAGAATCCGTAGTTTAGCCGTTTATCAATATCATCTGTCGTCTTTTCCCTATAGAAGCGGAATGATTTAAAAAATTGAAATTATTTATTTACAAATTGAAAGTAAAACATTATTAATTGAATTTAATATTTGTTATCCGTTTATTTTTAATGCAATTTTTAATGAACTATGTCAATTTATATGAGTGTATATATATTTAATTATTTGTAGGAAATCTATGTAATATATATCGTACGATATATACAAAAAAAAGTCATGTTTTACAGGATATCGATGTTAGAATGATGTTTCGTTTGCCTACTGACGAAACCAGTTTGATATTGAGGAGATCGGGAATTGAAATCTGGTTTGAAAAGAAAAAAAATAAATTCATAATCAAATAGATGCTTAATCATTTATACATTTTTAAAGTTTAAAATGAGAAATAACTGTAATTAACTGTAAGACGTCGAACGAACTGACATTGAAATGACGAGAATTTTTTAAAAATGCAATATAGTAATTGTAAATTAATTGAAAATCAATGGACCGATGACAACGTTATCTTTTAAATACAAAAATAACGAATTGTGTGGTTCTTATTGCTAATGTTCATATTGTTTTGTCAACAGAGTGAACGAAATTCCTTTGAATCTAAATCTAATTTTTCAAATAGCCATAAATTTTTTTTAAGCCAAATTTAGATAATCCAATCGAAAATGTTACTATTTTCGTATAAATTAGAATGACTTGATTAATTATTTTTTTTATATAAATAAAATTTATTTAAAAATAAGAGATATCAAAGCTCGGTGTTGATCCACAAACCAGATAATATTTCAATATTATAAATATATTTTAATAGACAAAAGTATAATGAATTTTTTAATAACAATTTAAAGTAGAGTTTGTCGTATTATTATGCGTAAAATGAGTCATAGAACTTTTCGAAATAAAATACGAGTCCTGTCAACATGGACACTTTTATAGCGTTATAGATCGGTCGATATTATGCACTGAATATTTTATATTAAATCTGAATTTAAATAAAAGTTAATATATTTTCTCCAATATTTTACAAATCTGTAATTAGAATTTCGAGAAAATTATAAGTTATGTAATCAAGAATATATATATATATATATATATATATATAGAATAAATATCACAATAACTTATTGAAACAGTTTCAAAAAATTTTTTATAATTGTATACCTGAAGCAGGTATGTTAAAATATAAAGTCTTAAAGAATAATTTCCATTTCAAATTCTGACTACAAAAAAAAATTATATATTTGGTAAAACATATGACTTTCGTAGGTAATAGGATTTAAATAGAAATTAAAATTCAGGAATTTAAAATTAACTTGTTATCAGTTGAATTATTAAATATAAATTGTAATAGTTATTGAAAATTACTTTATTTATAAAACAATGTTCTTAATATTATAATTGCAGAATCATTTTAAAAACATTTTTGTACAAATTCTATGTTAAGAATATAATATAAATTCAACAGTATTTCAATGTTTTGCATATATAGTATTGGATAGTTTTCACTTAATATTATAAAATAATGTTTATAACACTTATAAACATGTAAATTTATTTGGAGATTAAGTTTATTTATAAAATGATTGAAGCATTAATTATGATAAATCAATTTTATAAAAATATTGAATATTCAGTTTTTAATTATTTTTATTTGTTAAAATTTTATGTTAGTAGGCTACGGCAATGAAATTTATTGTAGGAAATAATACTTTTATTTATTATCCGAATATATTTTTTGTATATGAATAATAATTTATGGCGAAATTCATATGTTGTAAAATTTATATTGTATTTAATTAATTAATCTTTCTTGCTACTGCATTTAATTAAAATTGTAAATAAATAGGAAAGTAGAATTAATTATATATATATATATATATATATATATATATATATATGAAATTTATTCATAATTAATTCTATTTTACTAATGAATACATTCATATAACAAGTATTAAAATATAAATATTATTAATGAAATTGCAAATTTATATATCAATAATTTAAGTACAAGAATTAATTTTTTTAATAGATCACTTTTTTTTATAAACATAGTGAAATAAAATTTATAACTCCTTTAATTTAGCCAATTTTATCAAATTGAAATTATAAGAATAATTTAAACGAATTTTCTATATAATTAACTACAATTTTGAAATTTATAAAACATAATAAATTTTCTACAAGTATAAATACTTTGGACAGTAAAAACTTGTAAAATTCTTTAGAATAGATAATTATTTAACAATAAAAATGAAAATAAAAAATAAAATGTCCTACATCATAAGAGATTTTTTATATTTCTTATAATGATTTCAATGAAAATATTAATATTATGAAATAAAAGCTTGTTTCATCAATTGATTTTTAATTAAAGTTACTTCATTGCGCAGTTCCGAATGTATTTTGAGAGTTGAGAATAGGACTAGATTATTATGCTCGATCATTATGCTAGATCAGTGAGAATAATTATTAATCACTATTAGACAATTATATTATTTGCTTTATTCGCAGCTCCAAGTAAATGTTTGGTAATGCAAAAGTAGCCGAGCTCAGTTTGGAAATGCATTAACGGCTTTTAATACTATGAAATCATTTAAACTTTCCAAGTATTATTATTATGTAAATTTATTATTGAAATGTTTTTATATTTACATAGTAGAATATTCAATAATTACTTCTTATATTATTAAATCATAATTGATATAGAATCATTGTTATGATATTTCAGAATTATAAGAATTTTATTACACACAGAAAAAGCTTTAATTTATATGACATTGATGTCATTATATTTCATAGCTAAAATACTTTCTATGAAAATACATAAAAAATAAAAGTATTCAATAAACTTTCAAATTTATTAATAAAATGTTCAAATAACGTATAATGGCAATATAGTAGTGAAATTAATGTACTTAATACATGGGTATTTCAATCAATTTCATTTGAAATTGAAATTCCATATTATTTTAATAGCTTTAATATTCATATATGAAAAATATTTGTATTAAAGTACATGGAATAAGTGTAGATTAATATTTAATTAAAATACTAATTTAAAATGCATGCCAAGCCAACTATATACAAAATAAAAAAATTCATAAAAATGATGAAATTATGTTAAATACGTAAGAATTCGTTATAAAATTTATAGCCTTTTAAGTTTTAATTTGTCATGAAATAAAAAATACTAAGATTATATAAAAAATTTGATGACCTAATTTCTATATCACCGGGAAGTATCGAGGCAGCTTGTAATTTTTGTTTTCGGTATTTTTCATTTAATTATTGAAAATTCATGAATGTGATATGTTATAAAACAGAAGATATGTGAAATTTTTACTTTAATAGCAAAACTTTATGAATCGACAAATTATAAACATAAATAAAGGATGAATCTTTAGTAAATGTATTTGAAAGTATGGAATTCTCGTCCATGTACTTAAATAAATAAAATAAATATAAAATGCCTCGATCATTAAAATGGAAGGTTGCCAAATTTGGCATTTGATTGAACGCAAGTCAGAATAAGAAAGATTGATTGTCTACGAATTATTCGACGTGAAAATGAGTTGTTTCAAGTTTTTTCAAAAGTGCGTCGAGCGTCTGTAGCAAGTTCAATTCACTGTCGGTGCTCAACGAGCCGGAGATGTCGAGTTCAAGAGACAACAGCGGTAAGTTATTTTCGAAGGTGCGCGCTTGAGTTTCGATCCAATTTCCCTGTTCTATCCGTGAAACTTCAGATCCTCCCCTCATCCACCACTTTCCCCATCTCTTCATTCCCCTTTATGCTCTAGTATATCTAGAGGTAGTCTGCAAGCACTCGAATTACACAGCATCCGAGCAGGCCAATCGAGCCTGCGAATCTCCCCAATTGTCTGTTGAAGTTTCTTTGTATACGCAGCCGAATGAGTTGCGTCATGTTGCAAGAGCAACGACATTCTCCTACTAATTTCTGAATAATAATAATACGATTAATACGATTACGAACAATTTCAATATATTTGCAGATTCAATATGAAAAGTTCGCTGTTACCGTCGAAATTAATTGAAACATATCCTTCCAATATATTAATATTGCTAAATCAATTTAATCGCAAAACAAGCAAATATACTTTAAAATTAAATTTATAATAACAAAGTTAATATTTGAATAATTTAGCTAATGAAGTAATGTTTGGTAATAATTCCATTAGGAATTTCATAATAGATGATTAATACGAGTTTTTTTTTCGGTACTTCTAATAATTTATGTTTAATTGCAGAAGTTAGATAATATATGAGAGTTTTGCGTATGTAAATTCAAATTTATAATCTGCATATACGTATTAAAAATAATATTATACTTGTCGCTTAAACAAAATTTTAGATTTTTTTAATCTTAGATATTATAAAGTTAACGATTTTATTAACGCATACAATTTAATTACATTAGATAATTCAACGGATAATTATTTGAAATAAATTATTTCTTTGACAATAATATCATTAGCTTGTAATTTAATAATAGTCCATTAATGAAAAAAAAAAAAAAAAATAAATAATAATAAAATAAAAAAAAAAGAATAAGCGAAGTAATATTATTATATTGACTATAAATTAAGATAATTAATCGATTAATTAAAACACTTTAAGTATGTTAGTAAGGATTTTTTATCGAGATAAGACAAAATATGTCGAGAATTCAAGGAAATTTCATACCTGCTTTATAGCATTTACGTATTTATTATTTTTCCTCCGTATTAAAAGGTAATATATATATGATTTCACTAAATCTAAACAAACATTTGATTCCACACCATAAAAGTAGAAATATTTAAATAATTTTTTTTGAACATGGCATTTACGCTATTAATATTTTTATAAAATTTATTTAAACTTAATTTTTATTTATAACTCACTTTATGTATAATTGCTAGTCCATACAAGTGAAATACTAAATCATTTCATAAAAATTGTTTTATAAATGTATTATTGCATTTCACATGTATATAAAGTTAATTTTTATAATGAAAAATTCATATTAATATTCATTTAAAGCTCAAAATGGGACATTTAATTAATGTTGTAGGCGCCCGTGTGTATTCAGTTTTTTTTTTCCAACTAAGAAACATCCAAAGAACCTATATATACTTTATGTTTAGTAAATTACTTATTTTTGAAATTCGATATTTCAGTAAAATTTTAATATACATATTAATATATTATTTTTATTGATTTTTTTCTTAATAATTTTATTAATTACTTCGATCTATTCATTTTTTAATCACTTTATTATTTTTAAATTCAGACTCGAGTCGTTAAGGCGACATACATTTTACAGATTTGTGATATTTTTAATTTTGTAAAACTACATTATACTAATGAATTATACCTAAATTTATTTTAAAACGATCACGAAACGATCTTATTTTTAATTTGAAGCTTACGGTTAAATGAAATTGCGATAAGTTATTCATTATAAAAATATGTTAAATTTAATACTGAGTAATATTGGTAATTTGCTGAATTTGTAGTTTATAGTGATCGAATGTAATTGTGAATTTTTATTTCAATACGCAATTTAAGTTGTATTCATTTTCACTGCTTGATAATTCCTTAGAATAATATAATTATATAAAATATCAATAACTACTATTAATATTATTGGCATAATTAGTTTTGTTGTAATAAATCATTTTAAAATTCATCATTAGCAATAGGAGCAGAAATAGAAAATATGAAAAGGTTATATTATTTAAACTATATATATATATATATATATATATATAATTATATATATAATTTTTATTATATTATATGTAATATTGATCATATATTTAATTAAAATGGTTAGATACATTGTCTAATGCTATTATTGACAATACCAAGATGTTATTCAAAGAAATTTATTCCATTGAATCGACAAAAATTAATACAATATTTTATGTGCCTCGGATAGTTTTGAAAAAAGTTTTTTAAAGCCTTTGCTACTTTTATTCTTAAGCGGTGTAAGTAATTGTGGGATCTGTTATTCTTAAAATGCAAAAAGAGTCGACAGTGATATTTTTTTGTTCGACATTAACGTTCCTTCCTACATTGCCATTTCTAGTTCGTTAAAATGTCTGTGTCACGTAGCACTCTTTGTATACGAAGCACTAACTTTCAAGTACATAGCAACGGTAAAACATTGTAAGAGTAATTGAGATCACTTACTAATACCTCATCGCAATAATTGTATTTACCTCCTTCAGTACATAATCGAACATCGCAAATCGAAAACCAAGATTTTATTTAAGAAAAGTCTTCAGATTTCAGATATTACGTAATCTCTGACTTGTATATATCAGGTTAATTATTGATATTTGTCATATTAATTTGCAACTACTATTGCTGTAAATTGATAATCCAGCCATGAATATAGTTTAAAAAAAAATATAGTGCCTATATATTAGTTTAATCTTAAATTAAAAATTTTTTTATTGCTTATTAGTTCAATGTAACATGAAAGATGTATATTTAGACGTGAAAAAAATTTAATGTTACATAATAGAATTATGTTAAATTTTAAATTTAAAAGAAACATGAAAATGTAAATATAAATTGTAACAAAAATAGTTGAATATAATTAAAATGAATAGCTATTCTATAATAAACTATAATAAACTTAATAAACTATACGTCAATATTCCGTTAACTATGATAAAATTTGGATAGTTTTCCATCGTTAATTTCAATAAATTATATTCAATAATGAACTGTAGCTACAAGTTTAATATGAAATCGTTTCAAACGTATCCTTTATTATATTATCCATATAATTATAATCCTAATTATCTATAAAATATTATCACGTAATAATGAAAACATTGTTTTAGCATTTAGCATGGGATAAATTAGCAATTTAAAAGTACTCTTTTAATATTCTGTACAATATAAAAATTATCCTTTGTAAAAATTATATTACGTTTCCCATAAGCAATTTATAAAAATGAAACTCACGGATAATCTAAACAATATTAAAATATTAATGACTATATTTATGTAATAATTTGAAACAATATAAAGTTTACGATCGATAATAACGAAGACATTCTTATCGAATTTATCATTGAACAAAAACATTTATACGGAAAATTTCCAAATAAATACTGCCAAATAAAGTTTCATTATTTTTTTTCATAATATTAAAATAATAAAGATTTGTCACAACATTATTAATCGATTGAATAATGTTAATATAAGAAATTAAAAAAACGTATATAAAAATAAACGTGTGTGAATTAGTTCACAAGGTTTGCTAGTCGATAAAATGTTTTTTGACTTCTTACGTAGAAAGGAACAGAGAAAATCATCATAACGAAAACACATGTTAGCTATCGATAAAAATTCTTGAAAAGAAGGAGAAGCTTGAAAGAGAAGGGCACGTCATCATAATTAGTGGTATGAATAACGTATAAGAACACGCGAAACTTTTCAGATTAACGAGTTGAAAACAGAAAATATCCCAAGTAAGAAAGATTTCTTGCTTCTCCAATTAATACTTATTTGGTTCTTTTTCCTTTGATTTATTAAGAATTTTCACGCTGAACTGTCGTGTAACAATATTATATAACATATTAGTATGGGGAAATATATATGAAAATTTTTTATAATATTAATTTAATTGAGTTGTGTGATAAAATTTGTATGAGTGAAAAATAATGTTAGTGTTGTATTATTAATAGTCAATCGATATTGATATTATTCAATATTATTGTATCTAATGAAACTTTCTTTTTAAGCCGATACTTATGAGCGGAGGAAATTATATAAAGGAAGGCAGCGACCCTGCCAAGAGTACCTGTCTCATTTTCTCATCTAAAATGGCAGATGAAGTTGGTACTTTAAGCAATTATCTTCAACTTTTTGCTGTAAGTGATAAAAATAATAAAATTTAGATTTAAAATTCAAAACTATGATTTACTTTAAGAAAAAAAAAATTCCCCTTAAAATATTGCTTTTCTGTTACAGTCAGAAGATTTTATTATAATCTTTTGCTTAGTAAATGTTCAGATAATATACTAAAACGACTGAACTCTATCATAAATTTTGTAATTTATGCTTATAGGGTTTTTTTTTCTTTTTATATTTTTGTCTAATTTACAATATTTACAATATTTACAATTTACAAACTAATTTATAATTTCTATTATGATCAATTAAATTTTACACGTTTAGAGGTTACACCAAGTAAATTGAGTGATTGAGATTTCCGGGTACAAAAATATTAATATTATTTTAAACATTCTTGTAAGCAAATTGAAATAATTCATTATCTTTTTTCTAAGAAATATCATGATTAATAAATTTATGATATTTTGACATTGATCCTTTAATATATAAACTATTAATCACGCGGATCATTTGGACTATAATTTAGTGAATTTATAAATTAATATCAATACTGACTTATACGAGTGATATGTTCATATAAAATTTTTGGCAAAATGGATATACTTTCCAAATACTTTTCAAATGCATTGAAAACTGAAATAATCTTTTACTTACATTGATGATGAAAAAAAAAAAAAAAAAAAAAAAAAAAAAAAAAAAAAAAAAAATTGAAAAATGTAGATACGAGTTGTTTGTCAAATATTTAAATTTCTTACAGTATATACGATTCGAAAAAATAATTGGTAATTTGATAATAAATATTTGCTATTTAATGTATTTAGTCGTTTTTGTTATTGATAAAATAAAATAAAATTGAGTTACAGAAATGATATTGTCTTTTACGATATATAAATATAATATTACGTATTAACTACATATCTTTATCTACTTACATTCATTAATGTTTGTCTATTAAAAATAAATGGACACAAACATATACCAGTAGATTACGTGTGCTATATGTATAATCATTGTTGTTTAAACAAAAAGTACTATTAATTTGTATATTTTAGATAAGTATTCAAGCGGTATAATGTTTTTTGTAAAATTTAATAGATAAACGGAATTATGTTTTAGAAACATAAAGTTAATCTCTTGCACATTGAGTCAAGAAGTAGTTTGCGACAACCCAATGGATATGAATTTGTGGTGGAATGTGCTCCTGGTGGCAATTTATCAGCAGTTGTCGAAGCTCTTGAGAAACAATGTGAATATTTTTCAATAATCTCAAGGTTAGTATATTGTTTACACTATTGAAATATTAATTGTATAGAGACAAAGTGTTATATAATATAAGATAATGTAATTTTATAGTTATTGCATTATAGTAAAAAATATTATTAAAAACATACATTTAATTTTTATTAATCAAGTGTGTAATAATAATTAATAATTTACAATTTTTTTTACATTTATTTTTACTATATATATATATTCACATATACAGCTTTTTTTCTTTTTTTTTTTTATCACTATAAGAATGTTTAGATTTGCTAGAATAATGGTTAATAATAATGGTTTAATAATGTCATGTTCACCCTCTTAAAACGTACTTAAGATGAAATGAAACTTATACTCAATAAATTGTATATTTAATAGATATTAATACCGAATTATAAAATTTGTAGGAAAAATTCTGTTTTAGAATTTAACGTATTATTTTTTATATAAGTATGAACTTATGTGTTTATGATGTATAAAAAAAAAACGTTACGTGTATGTTTTATCGTTTACGATAAAAAAAGGAAAAATGTTACCAGAGTGAGAATTCATTTGTTTATTGATTCGGTATATAAAAAAATATCGAGGAAGTAAAGTTTATACGATTTATGAACTAGTTAAAAATGATAGTTGTAGTAAAGTCAGTTTATTCGATATTAACGTAATAGCAATATGATGCAATAATTTCAAATATTACCTTAAAACTGCATAATTATTGATAACAATATGATTATTGTTATATGGAGATAAATAAATAATGTAGGGACCGTCGAGAAATATTTTCTCTTTTGTTTCTCTGATTAATTTTTGTTTTGCCGTAAGCGTAAGATATACTTTAGACTTTTTGCTGAATTTTCGATTCTCTAACTACGTAAATGTAACAACAAACTAAGATGCAAAGCAAAACGTATGAATAATCGATATTAATAATTTATTCGCTATAGCCAACGTTAATACGCTTATGACATAACTACGCTTAAGCATCAAGAAACATCATATTTCAGCACATAAAAACATCAATACATAATTACAACTTAGATTACAATCATTGCTCTCGATATCTAAAAAGGCCTTTGGCATTCTCTCGATTACAGAAATTACAAGGATAACCTGGGTACGGTACCTTGGTTTCCACGTCGAATCAGAGACCTCGACAAGTTCGCCAATCAGATACTTTCCTACGGAAATGAGCTAGACAGCGACCATCCAGGCTTTACCGATTCGGTTTATTGCGAGAGGCGAAAGTATTTCGCAGACTTGGCCTACAATTATAAGCAGTAATTATCTCGCAATTACGGCGCTCTAGAGTAATTATGGAATTAAGACTCGTTGCCGCCAACCTTGGTCGCGACGTTTCTTTATCTTGTCGATCCTTTCATTGTAAAATTATTGGACTCTTTGCAGCGGCCAGCCCATACCGACCGTTGTTTATACAAAAAAGGAGATCGAAACCTGGGGAGTAATATTCCGAAAATTGACGTCACTTTATCCGAAGTATGCGTGCAAGGAGCACAATCACGTATTTCAATTGCTTATTGAAAATTGTGGATACAGCGAGAATCATATTCCGCAGCTTGAAGACATTTCGAATTTCTTGAAAGGTACTTTATATATACTTTTTTTTGCTTTTTTTTTTTTGCTTTTTTTTTTGCTTTTTTTTTTTTTTTTTTATAAATTTTTCGCTTACAATTAATTTTTAATGGCCAAACATCATGAATAGTTTACATTTTCACTTTTAATTTTAGAATTGAGAACTATTTTGAATTTGCCTTATCGTCGATAATAAGGAAGCTGGCAGTTTATTCAGCCATTATATTAAGTAAACTTAAATGATATTAGAATATGAATGCTCGATATATATTAATGATCGGTAGCTCTGCAAATATACTAAACAACCAGTACTGAATTTTATTGCAGAATTTCATAATTTTAATAATTTTAAACTCGTCAATTATTTTCTTAGGATTTTATTAGGATATTCTATAAGTATAGGCTAAATTTTATAATTTTATACTTAAAGTATAATTTATTACGATTAAATTTTTGCATTAATTTGTTTCTGTAGTTTATGGTTTATGGACAAAAAGCTTGCACGAAAAGTATTGATGCAAATATAATTTGTTTCGATACAATAAGATTACATTTTTATTTAATTCTTGCTGTGCTTGCTGCATACATAAATAGCGATTAATTATATTATCTCTTATCGATTGGTTTCTTACATTTGTGTAAGTACAGTCATCGTTCATTTTTAATTCCTTTGAGTCATAAATCATTCTCCCATTGCAATTTGATGAAACATATGTATAGTGTCGATATGCTAGTCTATTTTGTGGTTCGACACTACAGAATTCCATAAATACTCCATGTGGAAACTAATAATTGTTTTTTGTTTATATATTTTTGAAAGTACGAAAAAAGTGAGATTTTAACAAGGTAATTATTTTGTCCGATACTAAAACTAGCTAATTTATCAATTATATATAACTTTGAATATTACTGTTTTGTAACACGTTCTTATGTATTTATTATAATACTAATATATCCTCGAGAGAAAAAATTTGTTCTTTAGAATTGTATGTTAAATAGTACTTTCACGATGAAATATGATAATATTTATATTATATTTTTCATTTTTCTTATGAATTCGTAGCTTTATATGAAATTTTAGTTATGAAGTAATTGTATAAAATTATATAAAATTCTTATCTGATCAAATTATATACGATTAACTGAGCATAGAATATTTATTAAGATTGCAATTAGATAGACGATGAAATTTTATAAATTTTCATTAAGTAGTTCATTAACGATATATACTGATTGGAATGTTTTTTGAAAATAATATTAGAATTCATTCGAATTTTTTTACATTCCATCTAATAATATCATTTACATATGCTACTTAATTATTTTCTGCATTCATTGACACATCATAGAGCGAACGACGATTGATTTTTTTAAATATTTCACAATGATAAAACATTGATGGGTTTAACATATTTATGCTTTCAAAATTATAAACGTGAGAGAAACAAAACAAAAAAAAAAATAAATAAATAAATAAAAACATCACTTATTTGGCCGAGTATGTTTAGCAATAACAAAAGTTTGCGAGTCTTAAGAGTTTCAGAAAAATTTACATACTGTATTTTTCTATTATCATCTTACTTTTTCAACAGCTCGTCTGTATTTAAATTTCATGAAATTTTAAATTCTGCTCACATTCCAACTCACAAAACAATCCATCTAACACTACAGCATTGTCGATGCTTCGAATATTCCATTCATTTTCTTCTTTGCCAGGCTCGCTGCATCAGAATTTTCTCGTTCATGAAACATTCCCGACATTTATGCGAGGAATAAATTAAAAAATGCATCAATTACTTCTCAAAGTTAAAAAAAAACGAATCCAACCGAGCCTTTAAACTTTGACATTCCCATTCTCAGAAAAAAAAAAAAAAAAAAAAAAAAAAAAAAAAAAAAAAAAGTCAGAGAAAAAGCCTATTGAAAATTCGTACAAAACAATATAAATCCGCTGGATCAGAAATCAGATCGCTAGCGTCACCGCATGACCGCCTCCCATGAAATGGGCCTCAATATTTCCCACACCACTAACCGGATGCTCGAAATACAGATTGCACAGGATTCACCCTACGTCCTGTGGCTGGGCTTTTGTCATCACGGGACTTCCTCGCCGGACTTGCCTTCCGCGTCTTTCACAGCACGCAATACATAAGGCACTACAGCCAACCTCTCTATACTCCCGAGCCCGACGTCTGCCACGAGGTCCTCGGCCATGTGCCGCTGTTCGCCGACCCGGACTTTGCCCAATTCGCCCAGGTCATCGGCTTGGCCTCCCTTGGCGCGCCCGACGAGTATATCCAGAAGCTCGCCACGGTTTGTGTTTACTTTTTTATTCGAAACTTAGGTTTTACAGTCGCCCCTTGTCCACTAGATGATTTAATGGCTCATAAATGTGAGATGGTAGGTTCACACAATGAAAAATTCATAATTAGGTTCAAACACTTACTTACCGGCCGAGGGATTTGTAAATAAAATTTTTTTTAATATAATATGCAATTACGTATAAATAGTAAATTATCGTAAAATCGTTTTCCTTAATACGGACACTTATAAATAAATCAAGTAAAATAAAAAAAAAATATATATATATATATATATACACACATGTATATAACTAATTCAAAGATACGGACGATTGTTAATTTATAGGTAATGTTATTTACATTAAAATTCAGGACAATTACAATTATTTAATTCGTAAAAACGTACATAATATAGCAGTTAATTATATATTACGAATAAAGTAAATAAGAAATTAAATATTAGTTATTTTTAGTGTTTAACTACATAAAAAATTCCATGAACAATTAATACAATCCGTTTGAAAGCTTTAAAGATCATTCGCTTGGCTGATTTCACGTATCTTACGTCTTTGGACAATTTGTAAAATTAATTACATTTAAATAATCGGCATAGTTACAGAAACAGCAACAACAATAATATCAATAGCAATAGCAATGATAACATTTAATTTCCATTCTCTTTCAATGGGATAGTGTTTCTGGTTCACGGTGGAGTTTGGCCTTTGCCGACAAAATGGCGAGCTTAAAGCTTACGGAGCCGGACTACTTTCATCTTTTGGCGAACTCCAGTACAGCCTAAGTGGTAAACCTGAATTGAAACCTTTCGATCCGGAGACGACGGCACTTCAGAAATATCCGATTACCGAGTATCAGCCGATTTACTTCGTAGCTGAGAATTTTGATGATGTCAAGGAGAAAATGATGTGAGTACGACTATCATACTTTCGTGGGATAATTAAATTAAATTAGGCTACACGATTCTAATGAATTGAGTAAGAAAGAATTGATTGTAGAGCTTTCAATGGAGCTTTCCCTTTCTTCGTAAACGAACTTTTCCCAAAATGCTCTTCTATTTAATAACAAAAGATAAATATCGAGTCTCTATTATATCTTTGAAATTAACAGCTCATAGATATGAAAATTATCGAAATAACCTTGTTTGGAGAAAATTATAATTAAAATTATAACTAAAATTTAAAGATTAAAATAATATATAATATATATATATATATATATATATATATATATATATATACAGCAGTTTTTTTCATTACGTTGAGGTAGACTACAATGTATGTAGAACATTCGGTTTGAATAAAAAAAAATGACATTAATTGAATATTTTTCAAAATTAATAGGATTTATTGACATGAAAATAAGATAGAAAATTAATGATATAAACATTGTTATCATTATAAAATAATAGTAATTATAATTATACATAAAGTGTGATTATTATTTATAATGAAGTAAACTAAAATTTAAAATAATAATAAGATTAATTAGCCTATTTGAATTACAAATATTTAAATTTCATTTAAATTAATACTACCGTTATTTATTTCAGAAAATATGCTCATACGATTCCAAGAAATTTTGGTGTTACATATGATTTTTATACGCAATCGATTCGCATAATTAATAGTAAACATCAAGTAGAAAAACTCATTGATAATGTTAGTCGTGAATTACAAATCTTAGCGAACGCTCTTCGCAAATTAAAAAATTAATTAAGCATTACAACACTTTATGTAATCTTAATATATTATTATCGTAAAAATATATTTTCAAAAATAGTTTTAACAACTATTTTCAATATTGTATCAATATTAAAAATATTTATGTATTATATTTAATATGTATAAACAGAATTGTTGGTTTAATGTTACATTTGTAAATTAAAGAGTATCTACGTTCAATAACCATGCAATTTAATAAATCAAATCTATTAATTATTTCATGAAGAAACTTTTTTTTTGCCGGTAAATTTCACTTCAAATATAATCATACTAATTGTACGAATTGAAAATCCTATAGACTTAAACAACTTATAATCAATTTAAATTAGTTTGACTGTATTATTGATTTATAATTTTACAATGGCTATATGTACATTTAAGGAAACTTTTAATTGAATTTAATTAATAAATTCGGCATAAATTTCGTTCAAAGGGAATAATTAAATTCTTCAATTTTGTTGAATTTTTTATTATAATTTTTATTTATGTTTTTAATATAATGACAAAGAAACAATTCTTCACAGTCGCAAAAATATAATTGCTCACGATATAAAATTGATCTAAAATTTTTTTTATATCTACCGCTCTGCACTGAATATTGTTTCGTCTTTTTTCTAACTTGAACAATATTACATATCAATGACAATAAAATACAATCTTGAAAGTGCAGGACAATATTGATCACATTCACTACGATAAATATCCTTGATATTTTAGTTTGAGAAAATATGACATATACATTATTAGATTTATCTACACAATATATTTATATTTGATAAATTTTTTTATACATAACAAAATATATTATTAGGATTTTGACGGATGCTCAAACGTACGTATTCCGATACAAATATGTATTTGTATAATTATATATAATTATGTATACAAATATGTATAATTATAATTTGTTTTTTTTTTTTTTTACGACTTATTATATAATTGACTCTATTAGATCTGGTAACTCGTCGATTTTTTTTTTTTTTTTTTTTTTTATTATTATTTGGCTATTTTGATCATTATATTGTCAACTTGTAGTTTATAAAACATGGAAGAATATTAATGGATGTTTAATGATAATTTGAACTAAAATTATTTAAAAATAGAAAAGATTCAAGCCCCTCGTTATTGTAACATTTCTATGTATTTTGGAAAATATATTCTTAGTAATTTCTCTTTGATTGTTCGTATATTATCAAATTTAGTGTTATTATAATTCCATATGCTTTAGTAATTATTATACGAATGAATAATAATTTTATGAAATTTTCTAACTTTCGTTTACAATAAATATTATTGTACGCAAAACGCAATACAAAGTCATATTAAAATTGTGTTTCTATATGATACATAAAATGTTTTTTTTTTTTTTTTTTTTTTTTTTTTTTTAACAGTTTGAGCTTGATTCATTAATGTTTTGCATTTGAACTAATTAATACAAATTACGAGAAGAAAGCACTATTTCTTATGTGCATTAAAATTTCAAGAAATGCTAAAAGAGATAGGCACATTAAACGCATAATTTTTAAAGTAAAGATAATGAATAACGTAAGTCTTGCACATTGTTTGGAATTTAGTTTAATATAGAGGAAAATGGCCTCTTTCCGTTTCTACAACGAAACAGTTCCGGCAATTTAGCACCTCGCACAGTCTCAATTATATTACATTCATCTTTACATTTTATTGAAAGAAACGCATGTCTTTTTGTTTTCTTTTCACTAAAAGTACATTATACAGATAATATCATACTTATAATGAAGTCCGAAATTGAAACATCGATAAGTTAAATCTACTCTTTCATTCGTTATTTATTTTTATCTTTTGATAAAATTTGTACCAAAATGTTCTTACGTTACGTACATTTGATATTAAAATACATATTAACAAATATACTACGATATAGTCCAGTCATACCCTATAACACCTTTAATTAGATTAAATAATCGTAATGCTCAATCGTAAAAACAGACCTTCAATTATGACATATCCACGAAATATGCCAAAGTGAATTTTCTTATTCTTTACAATTTATTTATAAAAATAATATTTTCGTCTTAATCTGCTATCTGGCATTTTATATTGGCAAGTTCGATGAATAATTTAATTAATTTATCACCAATAATTATATTAACTCATTAAATGAATTATTTTTCATTACGATACTGTATATATATGATGGTAAAAATCGCTGGGCTTGAAGAATTTTATAAAAACCCGAGTCGTTTATTAAATATCGAATAACTGCATTGCCACAATTTTTTACTATAAAATTACTCGAGTCTCGTCTTATTTCAAGCACCTTATTTTTGTAAGGAAATATTTTTATACATTTAACCAACTCGGTTATTAACTCGCAATTGACATTACACAGCTTCTCTATATACTAAAAACATCTTATGCTTATCTCTTATCATTAAAATTGATAACGAAGCACCTTTGTTACCCTCAATTTTATGAAGACTCCATTCAACCAACTTAAAAGCCTGCGATGAAAATACTCACGACGAGCCCTACTTTTCCTCTTCATTTCACGTTGGCCTTTGCTGTTGGTTTGGCGTTGTATCGATGTTTGCATATATCAGATCATTTTGCTGACACATTTGGAAGCCAATTAGATTCGTTGCTGGTTCCTCCGCCTGCTGCTGTTGATTAGGTGGTTGCGCGAGCTGCTGTTGCTGTTGTTGTTGCTGATGTTGCTGTTGCTGCTGTTGTTGTTGCTGTTGCTGCTGTTGTTGTTGCTGTTGTTGTTGTTGCTGCTGCTGCTCCTGCTGTGGCATCATCATCTGAACAATGTTGCTGTGAGTTGGGATTGGCGATGCCGATACGGCACTTCCCGGTAGCGAGTGCGGAAAAAGCTCTGGTGACACAATGTTTACGGGTAGCGTGATGGGCACTGGGAAGACGCTGACACCCGATACACTCTGATGTGCTGTACTCACGCAACGAGTCGTTTGCTGACAGTGATTCGCGCCATAGGGTACACCAACCTGTAATTGTAGAGAGAGAGAGAGAGATAGAGAAGCTAGATAAGTCCATTATATCATACAAGGATCACGAGTACTCGTTCTTTTCTACACGACATTTCTTTGAATTTTAAAAGTTAAATGTGATTTTGAAAGTTATTTGAAAAGATTTGGATTTTGATCGAGATCGATTATTATCGGTTAAATGGGGCAGCCGTAATGATTTGTCTCGTCATAGTGACTTAGAGTTAAGTATTCTTTAGCAAATATTGTATTTAAATCGTATAGTTTTAGAATAAACATATGTCGTAATATTTATAAAATTCATTACATTCAGTAATGGTGAAAATATTCCATATTTAGCTATCAACAGTTGCTCCGATACTCTTCGTAATTCTTCTTGCTGATGGACTATTAATTGTTGCAATTCTTCGTGCTTACGTTGCAGCTCATCTTGGATTTGATTTTGAACCGGAGTCATTAATAATCCTTGCTGATGGAGAATCTGCGAGGCAATTTAGAGTCAATTATTATTTATAATAATATAATATCCCGTCTCGGATACGCCATTTTTGCTCACATTTTTATTGAAATATATGTCTTTGTAACATGTCATTCAAGCTAATAAAAATTGTTTATACTCTATGGTATGTAAATATTATCCTTATACGCGCATCAAAACATTTAAGAATTGCTATTTTTCTTAACGATATTGAATATAATGAGAAAGATACGGGACCCAAGTAAGTATTTGACAATGCTGATTTTTCAACGTATTAAAGTCTTATTTATTATATTAGTCTTATACATTGTACAATCGTAGCCGTGCGATATAAAAATTATTGAGAAGAATCGTATGAGGATAGAGCAATGCCGGCTGTACCTCGTTTGCCTGAAGTGGCGCAATGAGAGATGCATCGGTCGATCCTGAGTACCCGCCTCCTACGACATTCTCCATGGGTACCATCGAGTACTGTTGTGTCGGCTCCAAGAAATCCGTAAAATGCTGCTGCTCAACTTTCAACTTTTGCGTCATTTGTTGATGCTGCTGTTGCTGCTGTTGCTGCTGCTGTTGTTGCGTCTGCTGGTGATACGTCGGTTGTGCTTGTTCTTGTTGCTGATGCGAAGTCTCGGACAATCTGTTCTCATTGCTTGGTATAATTGATTTGGAATTCGTCGAGCTATTGGCGGAAGGAAGTCTCGTCCTTGTAATTGGCTGAGAAATAGCTTGGAATGATCGTGAGCTTTGTGAGCAAGCGGAGACGGAAGTAGTGTCGGATTCGTCGCCTTGGTGTCGAAGTCGCGAGCGCATCGTCATCACCGACCGCGATGTTCTCGCGGATTTCGAAGACCAAGAGGGCGTACGAATTTGGCTCGGTGTATTCTGAAATTCAGTTGTTTCACTCAATTACTCGGTCATTATGCATAAGGAATTGCATTAAACGTACCATTTATTAATCGGCTTGGAATTATGAATTTTATGGACAATAGGGAGGAGAATAAGTATGAAAATTATTCCCACGGATCCAGAGAAGGGATATAGTTTTTTCATACCTGTGATCGTTTCGACGACACCATTAAATCATCTTGCACTCTGAAACTCGAGAAATCGTCATCGTTTCTTCTCATATGCTTAATCACATCAATGTAGCTAACAACATGATGCGTGCACACGATGAATTCTGGCTTGGAATTCCACTGATTGTATGTTATGTAGAAACGCGTTTGCAACCAAATCCATTGCTGTCCTTTGGTAAGAAATCGATAATGACAGGATGTGCCCTCGCCTTTCTTCATCACTGTACATGAAAATATTAACTTTTTTTTTTATCTTTAATAATTATTTTCAAAACTATACATACATATATACTTGTTTTAATAATCTTGTAATTAAGTATCGAAATAGAAAATGCGTATGTCTAATTTATGCAATTATAAGAGCGTACGATGCTTATTTCTCAGAATCATAGAATTTCCAAATAAATTTGGAATTCACTTTCACGCGTATCGATCAAGCAACTTGCATAATTAATTCAATTTTTTTATCCGTGAGTATTTAAGCGTAGATTGATAAAAATTCCAAAAAAACAAAACTTTCGTTATTTCAATAATAATTAGTTTAAAATGAACAAAAGGTAAATTTCTTTCCAAATTTATTTCCAAATAAATTCACTTTCACGCGTATCGATCAAGCAACTTGCATAATTAATTCAATTTTTTTATCCGTGAGTATTTAAGCGTAGATTGATAAAAATTCCAAAAAACAAAACTTTCGTTATTTCAATAATAATTAGTTTAAAATGAACAAAAGGCAAATTTATAAATCAAATGGGAAAACTTTTATGATGCTTTGGCATATGTAATTATTAATCTATGAGCAATTAAAATTTCCAGACATTAATTCGATCCATTCGCTTACTGCTGTTTATTGAAAAATTTAAATTTCACGTCGCATTAGGTTCTTTTCTTTTTTTTTTTTTTTCATCAAAAGACGAATGTATCAAACACTCACAAGACTCATGACAAGTTACAACTTTATCCAAATCATCTATGTGATAATAATCATATCCAGATGTGCCGAGTACTTCGAAAGGTAAGTATCCAATTATTGGTGGTGCTCTGTGATCTAAAAACAGGAATTTCCATTCTAGGCTGTGCCTAGAGGTGAATTCCGTTTTCGTATTATCCACAATAGACATTTCTCGTATTAATTGTGGCATCTGTAGACGGCCAGTACACACGAAAACTGTTCTGCTCGGACAATAACAAAGAGTTTCATAATAAATCAGTAGCTTGCAAAAGGTAAAAAAGTAACGGATACGGGCATAAGTCAAAACTTTCTTACTTAGCTTCTCCAGCGACGCTGTTTCCAAATCTATTAGTTGAAATAACATTATCGGTATCCCCATCGTTTTTCGTACCTGGAATTGTAAGAAAATATTTATCCTAATGTTAAAAATAAAATTCTTGTAAAGTACAACATTTTAACAGTCACTAGGGGAATGTACATTCTACGGACTCATGCCTAGCGAATAGCAATAGCACTACCAAAATCAGCATGAGACGAAATAAATTTTCTAATCGAATTTATCGATTTACCCAATTAATACTTTACCCACAAGGATATAGAAAAAGTTGATATAGTTATTGCAATATTAGTTAATATTTCTAATAGATGTGTATTATAATGTAATATTGCATTATAAGCCGATGATATAATAATAGATGTATTGGTGGATAAGGACGAGGCATAACGATAACCCTGACACTCTTATTCACGAAAAACTTACGAAAGTATCCAACAAATTGCACAAGCTCGTATATCGGCTCTTCCCGAAAATCTAGACTCCCTCGTTTAATATGGCACGTAAACGATACTTGCTGCTCTGTAAGAAATGCGCATTTTAATCGACGTTAATTAAAATATGTCGGCGAAATGACGGTAAGATTTACCCTTTTTGATACTACTTTGTTCTCGGGCGCTCGCAGCGTTAGCCAAAATATTATACAAATGTGATTGGTCCTCTTGAAAGGCTATTTCATAAATTGTTGAGTTAGTGAGCTCGTTTGGGAGGTAACTCAGAAGCGACGTTATACTCTCAGAAACGTAATAAATTCGTCCCGACGACGAGAAGACCATTATGAAGCCATCGAGTGCCTGAAATTTCAAAGTTATATATTGCTGGATATTTAAGATGCCAAAGTGCCGTTATCATTTGTCTCGAATAGTGTTTGTTCGTTCTCGTTAACGCGCACTCAAATCTCCGACTATTCGCTTAATCGAGATGCCATACCTCTAAGGTTAAATGTGTGAACTCCTCGTTCGATAGGAAGGAAGGTTTCCAATCCTCTTGTATCTCGTGGGCTCTTGACCTTACTGCCAATTCTATAAGTATTATCGATGTTATAGTGGCTGTGTAATAATATTATTATCTTGCTATTACAATGCATTTATTACAAACCGGTATGATTCTTTAGAAAGAGTATCGTAGATTTTAAGACCGTAGATTTGTCCATTTTTCTTGTATTTGTGTTCACCATATTGCCGAGCTCGTTCACCAGCATATTAAACTGATCTCTTCGTTTCTTCTCACTCAAATTCCTAGACTTTCTATATGAAATAAAATATTCTTATAAAGCCTTCTTTTCATTCTTTACAGAGAAAAAAAAAAAAAAAAAAAAAAAAAAAAAAAAAACTATCAATATGAAAATTTGTCAATTGTGTTATATGTCAATTCGTATCACTCCATTTATAAACATTAGACTTGTAATATTTACATACCTTTTGGTATCATCCCTTTCATCGTTTTCGTCCTCCATGGTTTCGCTAAAACGAATTCTCAATTAAATAAATCTCAAATGCAAGGCATTAAAGTAATTTGAAAATTTATCGGTCAAAAAGTTTCGCGCGTTATCCACAGATCTTTTAACACTATTACGACTCTCCACACGCAACGCAAATAATCTCGCGAATAATCAGCTAATTAGTGTTATTAATATAAGTTTTTAAGATTCAATTTCGTTGATTAAGAGGTCCGTTAAAATATAAACAAAGAAGGACGTCGACCGAATGCGAGTAACTGTAGATCACAAGTAGACTACTTTTTGGGCTCAACCCTTTCCACTCCCCCGACCCTCACAAATACCTCTCGCGAATCATCCGCTCCGTTCTACCATCGATCGTTCTACCTCACAGCCGCTGCTTCGAATCCTTCACTCGCGTCTAGCCTCAAAAGCCTTGCGTCTCGCACAAGGAACGCATGCTGCCATGCCTCCTTCGCGTGCCCCACCCCTTCCCCCATGCCCCACCAACCCCGACAAACAATGCACCTCGGCACTTCCGCGGTCGAGTGCGAGAACGATAGGCGCTGCTCCTGGCGGTGACAAGGGGCCGCCCAACGGCCACGCAACGTCACATTCGTGCGGGCGCCCTCGATCGATATGGTGCCGCGCGTCCCGTGTGCCATCCATGGCCGAGGCAAGGAGGCGAGTCCTCGCGGCCCCGGGCGACTTACTCGGACTGTCGGGTCGAGCCCCTGCTCCTGATGTAGCTCGCCATCGCTCGCTGACCCAGGCTCGGGCTTCTCCTCCGTCACCTCCACGCTGAACTCTTGCCTCCTCCTCCTCCCACCTCCTCCTCCCCCCCCCCCCTCTTCCTCCTCCTCCTTCTCCCCCTGCTTCACCCCCCCCTCCTCCTCCTCCTCCTCCTCCTCCTCCTCCTCCTCCCACCTTCTCCACCCACCTCTTCCTCCTCCTCCTTCTCCTCCTGCTTCACCTTCTCCTCCTCCCACCTCCTCCCACCTCCTCCTCCCACCTCCTCCTCCTTTTCCTCGGACGATGCTCTCGTGCGCACTTGCCAGTGGCTTCGTCGAGGGGAGAGACGCGACCTCGCGCTCTCGGCCCGCTGCATACTGACTCGTATCGCGCCGATCCGCACGGGGCCACGAAGCATTGCGCAGGCTTATAGGGGCCGAGCTACTCGCCGCGGCACCGATAACACTACGGCTCCAAATGTCACTAGGTTGCGTGCGCGCGCGCGCCCCCTACTTAACGGCCTCCGGGATGTCCAAGTTGAACGTTAACGGGCTCGTCCATGTCACGCCAAGGGAGTTGCTAAGGGGCCGGCATGCACCTAGTTGTCCTACGCTGGCTGGCCAAATTTTTCCAGCTGAGTAATAACATTTTTGGCGAATGTATTTTAGTTGTTAGTGGATCGGAATGTCGTGCAAAAGAGCACAAAGTTGATCGGATGTTTTTGAACTGTTGGATTAGAATGCCGTGCGAAAAGAATTATTGCCAATATGCTTGCGATGATTATGGTAAATGTTGATCAAGTAATATTGCAACTAATTCGCCAAACGCCTTCGTTACATTCCTTACAAGCATTAACTTTACCAAAATTACGATTTTTAATTTATAACTTTATATGTTTATAAATATCAATTGTAAGTTGAAAGTAAACAATCATGCATGCTTATATTTTCTCGTATATTCTCATAAGATCTCATATAGAATAGAGTATTTTGCTGCCAAAGTTATGCACAACTTTAGTCTAATTACCTGAAAATATTAACTCGATCCTTAATATATACGTGTATATATTCAGAAAAATTAATCGTTAATTTTATTAATCAATTTAATGACTTTAGATATTATGGTAATTAATTGATATTATTGTTATATCATAAGGACATCAGTTTTTATTTTTGTCTATAAATTTGGAGGGATAATTTATCGAACGAATCATTTCCAGATACTGTTAGGCTACCACCACACTATTATTCCTTAAATGCTCATAAACTTCGAACATAAACAATTTACTTACTTATTAATAAAACCAAGTCATTATTTTACAGGATAATTACAGTTAATCTTACGATTAACGAGGATAATTATTTTTAAAGGTAAATAAAATTAAAAATCAATCGCCATTATTTTGTCGAGCCGTGCATTAAAACTTTTAATGAAATATTCGTATACGTTCGATAAAAGCTTAGCGCGACAATGTTATGTAAGATTCGTCGTTGGATTATATAAATGATTATCATGCATCTTAAGTAAATAAGTCAAAAACTATTCTTACGTCTATTGGCTTTTATAATTTCGAGGTTAATTATTGAATAGAAAAAATAGTCTTTTAAATAGAAAAAAATTTGATACCCGATGAAAGGAGAATATTTTGTTGTTGTTGTTGTTGTTGTTGTTGTTGTTGTTGTTGTTGTTGTCGTCGTCGCTGCTGCTGCTGCTGCTGCTGCTGTTGTTGTTGTTGTTGTCGTTGTTGTCGTTGTTGTTGATAACAATCATTATTATTCATAAAGAAATTATTAACAATTTATTTTATTTATAATTTATAATAAAATTTATATTTCAATAAAAGCATGTTTCTTCCTATTGTATTGCAACAATTTGTAAATTTTAATAGATAATATTGAACACCATTCGATGTAAAATATTCAAGGTAAAAATTAAAAAATAATATAGTTTTATTAAAAGCTTGGGCATTCAATAAATTAGATTCAATCATTACATTTAAATTTCAAATACTCGATATTCTTGATTTTCAATTCGAAATTTGTAATTATGCATCAATTAAAAAATTTATGTTCTTTTGAAGCTGTGCAATTTTGAAATGATATTTCTTGTAGTCCTAATGTTACTACTCTTTGGACTGTTTATCGAGGACACGGATTTTTTCATTCTTACGGGCCCTTTTTCCGAATTTTCACCAATGTTTGCCTGAGTACTTGAATTTTTCATAAATTGTGATATACGAGCGGATTCGGAAAATTTTCTAGCTGCTTCGTCACTCGCTTGTAAATATTTCTTCATTAAATACGACATTCCACTTTCTTCTGAATCATCGTTTTTATTTTCGCTTGTCGAGCTTTTAACATTCAAATTAGCGCTGTTTGTGGCTCGAGAAATTTTTTCGTTCTTATTTTTCTTCTGAGGCTTTGATTCAAATTCATTGAATGCATCGTACGAAGATTTTGTGAATATAGTTCTAGGACTTATCACTGTTGAATTAGTTTGTTTCGTTATTTCTTTTATATCACTATCGGACTCCGTATCATCATCCAAATCAGAATTCATAACTATAGATTTCAAATAATTATTTTGCAAATATAAGTTTGCATCCTCATTATCGTCAGATATATAATTAGATTTTTGCAGGTCACTATTGCGTTTACATCTATTTTTTCTCACTTTTTCATTACTTAATTTTGATCTTAGACAACCTTCGCCACTTCCGTATTTTTCAATAAAATTTTGACTGTTAGTGAGGCGCGTTGTTTTCCCATTCAATATATTTCTTTTTGCCACGTCGAATATCTTTTCCTCAAAGTCATTTGGAACTTTAATCGTAGATTTTGTTCGTTTCTGGTCTTTCTTTATGAGGGCATCGATGTCATCTTTCCTTAATACAGTACGAATGTCATTAGGCATTAATTTACTTGATATACTAGAATTAATGGATTGCAATATTTTTTCGTTTCTGCCTCTGGATTTTTCTAAGCTTTTCAATTCGTCTCCCGGAGTTCTGGAACCTTTCTTAGACGTGGAACGGGCATTTTGCTCTTTAACCAGTTGCTTAAAGCCCTGGCTTAATCCTAAATGTTTTTCCATTTCTGTCAGCTTTATCTCTCCGTTAAACTATTTATGTAATATTTTCAAAATATCGCTGGAGTTGAATAGCTAAATGAGAAAAATGAATTTTACAAATAATATATTTGCAATTTTAAATAGAATTTTAAAAAGAAACTTTATCGTTGATGGAAATTTTAAAAATAAAAAATTGAAAATATAGAGAAATGATGAAAAAACGTGTTATTAACATCGTGTTTATTGTTTTTATAATGAAAAAAATAATAAAAGTACCTCGTCACTGGCTTTGAAAGCATAAATTAAATTAGCAACGTTCTTGAGCGTCTAATAATTTGTTAATCGTCAAAATATATAAATTGGAAAGGTTAAAAACGTATTTCTTTTTTCTGTAATGACAAGTTCAAGATAATTCAATAAATTTCAACGAGGATAGAATTAAGCTTAAGATAAATTTTTCATATTCCCATTTGTGATTAATAAGTATACCACAATCTTGTTTAATTTCGCCGTTAATTTTCTTACTTCATAAAAAATTCTGCTGAATTTATTTGGAAAATTCAATAACTTTTTTTTCCAGGACAAATGTGATCCATAAGATACTTTCCATATGTATGAAATAACCTATATAGAAAATTTTATTGCCAAATACATAAGAAGTAGCCTGTTGTTCGGATAAATGTTACAAATCTTGTCTTGCAATACTTTTATTTCATAATAATCTCGGCACAGACAAGGTGCAACCGAATACTTTTTGAAATGCGATAGATTACTATTCATAATTCAGAATAATTAAAAATAAATGAATTGTCATCTGAACAGAGATTCGTGTGAAGTACGTAGAAATCTGTCATTCATAAAATTGAAAAGTTTATTATTATAGATATAAATAAAGAGCATTTTTTAACGTTTTTAACAAAAATTTGTTTGGCAGTGACACAAAGAATATATTGGAAATAAATGCATCAACATGAATGAAGTATTAAAAATTAATTTTGTTTGTATCAAAGCAATTTATTAATATATGAATTCCAAATTATTTTATGAATATTACAATAAAGCTTTTATATAATAGAATGAAAATAATATATATATATATATATATATATATATATATATATTTTTTTTTTAAATGAGAATTGTATTTTAAATGTTTAAATAATTGCAAGGTATATTTTCAATAAAGTTGAAATATTAAAAAATAGTAATAAAATTCTCTTTGCTCTTTTAAATTACTATAAACATTTAACAATACAGATTCTACTCATATATATATAGTACTATACGCATTTCTTAATTTATTATTATTATTATTTGATAGGTAAAAGAAATAATTGAGGTAATCATAAATTGTCAGTCGATTTCACAATTTTTATTATAATATATTCGATATGAAGAAGTGAAGATAAATATAGAAATGTCAAAGTAAAAATGGAAAGTCGAATGTAGCATTCGTTATAGAACCGTAATCGTAATAATATTACAAGATAGGCTACACAGTAATATCACAATGCATGATTTATAAACTTTCGGATGAGTATACAGGAGAAAATGTGAGTGAAATTCCTATGTATATATATATATGCAAAAGCTTTTCCAAATATAAACAAATAACAAGTAATAAATTCAGCATAAGACAAAAAATTTACACGTAATAATGTAAATTAATTTATTGAGTTCCTAATAAATACAAAAAAAAACTTTGATAACGAAAATTCTCAAAGAAGGTAATTCTTTTTGTGAATATCAGAACGATTTACGTTTCAATATCTAACTAATTTAACATACTTCTCATCTTAAAAAATTATAAAAAAATTCATTCATCTTTTCAAGATTGGGTACGACGCATTTTATTTATTTTCTTTCAATCTCTTGCTTGCAATTTTTCATTCTTACGTCAAATATATTCATCATTCTTGAGATAGGGAAAGTTTTTAAATTTATTTAATTTACTATGGTTTACATGTAACTTCTTAATAATCACAAACATTAATGCGAATTTGATTACTTGACGGTAGATATCAAGTTTACTACAAATATATATATATATATATATATATATTTGTACATATAGTAGAAGCAAGAGAGAAAAAGATGTTTTGACACGTATGTCTGTGTAAATTCTATATATCTTATTAAATACTTGATTGCATGATTGATATGATGTCCCTAGTTTCCGAAGGCTCTAAATATTCAATGAGCTTCAGGTCGAGCAGTGAAAATAAATTACTATGCACTAGCGTATTCTGAGAGTCTTAAAGGCGATGGAACAACGCAAAAGAACCTTTTACGTTTACAAATGATTTATGTTTGTATTTATAATCATCATAATATATAAAAATTGCAGGAGTCAAGGCGCTTAGGCGCATACACTTTTCTTTCATGTTTTATCTATTCGCAAAAAGTCGTTGAGGTTTAATATAGAAAGGGTTGAGGCGGATGAAATCACAATTCCAAAGCACCAACTTGCTTTATCTCATCAATTCATGTACACATACATTGACAGTTTCACATCGTACGGTGGCATTTCATAATAATGAATAGAAAAAATTCTGGATTCTAAGCGTTATATGTTACTAATTTTGGTGGATTGATTTATGGTGATGAAGAAAAAAATTATCTATTAAATTACAATATGCGTATCCAGCCTTTTGACAGCAAACGTCTTTGGAAAATATTCGAGCTAAAGCGACAGCGACAGTTTGTTTTGTTTTCACATACTAGAACACGATTTTATCAAAATTAATTGAAAATCACGCTTATTCGTTTATATTATATGAAATGGCTTCCATCTTATTTATAAATATCACCTAAGACATCAACGTGTACGTGAATGCGTACACATACGCAGGGAATTCCTTAAATCAGAATTGTAGATTCTCAATTGATTTGCTTACATTCATATCTGCGGGGACTGACGAGTAAACTTTGTAAAACGCAAATAAAACTATTTATATTTACTAATATTAATATTGAAGATATATTTTGTTTTATATCTTGATAAAAAAAAAAAAAAAAAAAAAAAAAAAAAAAAAAAAGAAGAAGATTTGCAAAAACTGTAAAATATTTTCGTTCTGAGGCTAAAATACAACGTTACGCATGATTTTGCAGAAACTACTTATTCTTTTTTTTTTTTTTATTTCATATCGTGGAAGATATATAATTAAATATCAATGAACTCCATTATTGCCAGAAGTTTTGTCACATTATGGTCAACTTATATTGCAATTTTCTTTTCAACCAAAAGAAGCTGACGATTAATTCTTGTTTTGAATAAATGTACAGTTTACAATATTTTAAAAAATACTCAATTTTTTTCATAATTTTCAGATACATTGAAAAATATGTGCTCATCTGAAAGAGACATCGAAGAGAATAATTTTTCTTACTATTTTCAGTCCCCTTTTCATATTTTTCTATTTATACATATAAGAGGAGGAAAAAGAGAAGAATTGAATGATTGTTGTATCTATTCGCAGGAAAGTACGTTGGGCAAAGGCATGCAGTCTTATCACGTTCAACGGCAATCGACATTTCGACTGCTTGTCGCTGTAGGTTTATGATGAGTCTAATTACAAAATCTACAGTTTATACTTTTTTTCTCCCTCTATTTTTCTCTCTCTCTTTCTCTCTCTCTCTCTCTCTCTCTCTCTCTCTATCTCTATCTCTATCTCTATCTCTCTCTCTCTCTCGAGCGTGCACGCGCAGTCGTTCTCTTTCATTCGGGGATTTAAAAACGTCTTACTTCCCCTTAATCCACGCTATATAGTCTTTACATACACACTTACATTGCAAAATCGTTCGTTCGTTCATTGCTCTTCCATGACGGAGAAAGAATTACGCATATTTTCAATTCCAGAGAAATTATTACCAATTATATAAAAGCTAATTATGTCGACAATCGTTGCTTGGAATATTATATACATCATACAAATGATAATATTATGTACATATTTTCAAATATGTTCACGTGTGATTATTAGATACGTGGAATTACATTTTTCATGATTATACTTTACAAGTTAATGACTTCACAAAATTCGACACAATTAGTCTCGGTGATGAAGAAATATACGTTTCATATGCTATAAGTTTTGAAGAACGATGAAAGTGTATCTTTCTCAATACTCTTCGGATCCAATGAATTTTTCAACGAGCTTACAATACATCTTGCACATCGTATTCTGGAAGAACAGATTTGCCTATATTGCATGGATATACAAATGTATATTAAATAATGAAGAAAGTCAGCGACGCCTATGTTTAGCACAAACTCAGACCTTGTATATTTGGATATGTTTTTTATTTAAACAGCACCGTTTTTATTATTACGTGTTATGCATCGTCTTTAGTATTTAATAATAGCATTTTGTATTATAATATAATGAGTAGCGTGAGAGGGTAATACATTAAGGTCCAATTGTTCGCTTTTTGACTAGACGTCCCTGATTCACATTTACATATTTCGAATTAAAAGCCTCGACATTCATGTTTTGTGCACTGCAGAAGGTTTGTCAATGTCAACGGTATTTTATACTCGGCTAATTAAACACATGCACCAAGCAGAAAAAATATCTTTCAGTCGCGTATTTAATCGATAGGCTGATGTAGGAAAGAATAAAAGACTGTCTATTTCACATTAATGCGCATTATATAATGATTTTATTGACAAGCACGGACTTATAGGTTAGTTGTTCGACAATGTGGGCAGTCGATTATGTATGTGCCAGGCTAATTTACGTTAAAACTATGTTAGTACGAAAACTATTCACAGTTTCATTTTAACGTAGAGATTTGCTCAAGTACAATTATATGCCAAAGTACATAAAATCCATCCGAATTCTCAGTTCATTCTTAAACAATGAGCATCTATTATCATTTATTTTATCATAATTTTTTTTTCTTTTCTCTTTTATAAGAAGGCAATATATTTTTACCTCGAATGAATTTCAGTAGTTTGCATGCAAAAGCGCAATAATGAATATGAGCGGAAATTCTTTTGTCCTTCTCGAGTCCCCGATTCAAAGTGTCCAACATTATATTTAAATATAGTCCATAACTTCGAGTACAACAACCTAATATAATATCCTCTCTACTCTTTTAATACGTTCCATCTTATATCTTTCTCTTCTTAATTATCCATTCAGACTTCTGCGCATAGTCTTTTCGCATATGAGTACTCACGCATGCATAATAGGAAAGTGTGCAGCGGATATTTTCACGAACAATCTTGAAGTATCGTTAGTACAATACATTCAGCTGACTCCTTAATCTAAATCGTAGACAGTTATAGTGATAACGACAATGTCTAAATTATAGTAAATATTTATTTAGGACTATGAAAATAAATATTTATTTGAGTTATAATTAGGTTTACTCTACACGAGGACGTAACGGCAAATTCAATTCTTTCTTTCTTTTTTATTTATTTGTTTTTTTTCTTTTGTTTTTTTTTTGTTTTTTGTTTTTTTTTTTTTTTTCACCGCATTCGCTTCATTCGATGTCAATCTGACAATCTTAAGCAGCATCGCCAATAATATAAACGCCAATCGGTTTATAACATTCCCAATGATCCAAGAATTTTTTTCCATTTCCGTGCAATTTATTGTATGCGCATAATCATAAATGAGAATAGGTGGGGACTAAATCTTAAAAGACCATACTCCAACGACACAAGCCTGGCTGCTCAGTTATGAGATGAATGCATTCAATCGCCAAATTATCCATCCCATCGACTACTGCATCACCAAATTTACGAAAGTTATTAAATTAGTCATAATAAGGCTCGATAGTTGCCATCCGTCATTGGCTACATCCTCGCTTGGAGTAAACACAGTCGCACAACTCAAGCGAGTCGCGCAACTGACTCGCCGAGCATCCGAATAATGATGCCTCCGAAGAAATCGAGCGGTCATTGCAGACGCGATGCGCAAATACCCGCACAATCGATAGTCCATCCTTAGGAGCGTTGTACGAGCGTCGTATCGGTGGCTCACGTCGTCGTCGTCGTCGTCGTCGTGATCGTCGTCGTGGTCGTGGTGGTGGTGGTGGTGGTGGTGGTGGTGGTGGTCGTCGTCGTCGTCGTCATCGTCGTCTCGCTCCTCTGGCTCTCGCCGGCAATGATGGCACTGCCCCTCTCGTCCCTGCAGATGCTCGTCGAGGTTGTCGTCTCCTCGGACGCCGTGGGACCGATGCTTAGCTGGCGCTGCTCCATGTGATCGAGGGTCTTCTCGATAGCGCGCAACCGTTTCTCGAGGCTCGTCGTCCCGAGGATGCCGACCTGGAGCTGAGGTCCCAGGGGCAGGATCGCCAACAGCCACCAGGCCCAGGAGGGCCCGTCCGTCAGTCGGGGCCAGTCCTCCTCGGCCTCCGGCATATCTCCGAATACCCGACGAATCTCCGAGCGCTGGGACAGCGGTACCGTCACCCACCATTTCTTGCTCTTCGCCCGCACCTGCGCAAATACAAAGTCATTTTCTTAGTCATTTCCGACTTGGCGTCCGTCAACTTACGTCGTAGGTCATTTTACGCAACTTTTTCTGCATCTTCCTTATCGAAGCGAGAGCTTTCATAACATTTAGCATTTATATCCAACGATCAACATGTTTTCTTAACTAGTTTTATAATGATAAAGTCGGTTGAAAGTCTTTTTTGCGTTGTTATTGATTTTGTGATTATCGTGATAACGAAAATTTTGAGCAAGCAATGCTCTTTAGCATTATAAATATCCGTTAAAGCAAAAAAAGTCAAGTCTCGTAGTTTGTTTAATAGAGCAATCTATCTTTAAACGGCAGTTATACGATTGAAAGTATCGCTCGAGCAATAAAAGCAAGTAATAAGCAGCGTTAAACGTGAGCAATGAGAGAAAGACAGAATAAATGAATGAACGAATGAATGAATGGATGGATGAATGAATGAAGGAAGAAAAGTAGGACGGCGACTATTAGATGCGACTATTAGAGAGTATATAAAAATTTCAGTGAATCTGCAAAATATCGTACTTACTTTGTTGTGCAATTCGACAATGCTAAGTAACTGGTCAGCTGGAATCGGCGTGTCTCTCAAAAATTCAACCTGCGCCGTATCGTATCCATCCCTCTCGTCTCCCGACAGGACTCGAAATCTCCTCCCACCAATACTACTCAATATGCTGCAGCCATCCTTGAGCAGAACCCTGTCTCTTATATCCAACATCGTGCCGTACTCCGCGTACCTGATCGACAACAATTTGCAATTTAATAAATCAGCCCCGTACCCTAGTCAAATAACTGCCAGGGCTTTCAGAGCTTTTGCCTGGCAAGCTTCTCCTTTCGAAATTATTCATAATAGAGGTCTACTATGACTTGGCGATGATGAGAGGCTCGCTCAATACATTCTGTCCACGGACTATTTCAGTCGCGAGACGTGAAATTCATTGGTAATGCGAGAGGTTTGCGAGCGAGCGACCATCGATTTGCCAACGCATGAAAATTTTTGAATCGATGAAAAAAAAATTAAAAAAAATTAACGCATGAATTTGCTTCGTGTCTGAGCTCGCCGAGTGTTCGAGGGGAGTTGAGTGGCTAAGAAAGCCCCGTAAGGCCGCGCAACAGTCGGCTGGGAAATAAAGCAATACGGAGATAGAAATAAAGAAAGAAGAAGCAGCGCAGCAGAGGGTCTAAGCGATTGGCAGCCGGTTAATCACCTCTTGGTAGCGCTGGCCTCGCGGTTGAGGCAGGCCGCGATGCCGAACTGCCGGGTGCCGCTCTCGAGGCACCTGCGCACCATCAGCCTGTACCTCGGCTCGTAGACGAAGAGGGGACAGGCGACGCAGGGGAAGGCCGTCGTACAGACGAACACGGCGATCTGCTCGCTCGCTGCCTCCTCAGCGTCCTGCTGGACGAGCTCCTGGCGATGAGCTGCCGCCCGGGCTGCGTACTCCTTCGGTGCCGCGTACTTGAGAGCGCACTCGACGAAGTCCGTCACCGTCTTCTGGCTGCTCGCCAGATACTGGAACAGAGGTCGGGCGTTCAGCTGTTGGTGAGCTGCCGGGGGCGGGGAAGGGCAAGTGGGACGCCATGACGTTTACACGCGCGCGTAAATCTTGGAAGATTTTGACCGATGAGCCCCGACTGACGGATGTCTATAAAGATTGCGCGGCACTTTCTCAAGCGC